ATACTTACTGGAAATTTACATATAGACTAACATTCCACTTCTTACTAAATGGGAGAGTTAACAATTCACTTCAAAGTTCTTAAGTAAACAGGGGCATGCAGATACATTGGCAAGTGGTCTCTAAGGAGATCTTCATTCTATTTAGGTTGGTTAAGAGTTGGCGACACGTTATGAGCATTATGAGTTATTGGTTATGTCTATTGGGCTGACCAATAACATTTCACACTATGTATTTATTAACACTACAATTGACATTCATGTTACTACTCATATAAATCCGAGCAATCAGTCATTAACACAAGTACACTTCACAGACTCCCCAAATCAATTTCAACTCAGATTATTTGCTAGTTTCAAGCTTATCAGCTAAGCAAATGAACTAAGTTATCTACTGCTAATGTCACTCCAATTTTATCAATCCAAAGTCCAGAAGTTAAGAAAAACAGTCCAGCACAGTTCCGTTAGATACATATTTCATAGTCCTAGTTTCGTTGAATATAGATCAATCTAGGATACACTACACTATCATTAATATCTATTTAACTACAGCTGCTTTCATTCAATAAATAAATGCTTTAACTCTTTCATTTCATGCTCAAGAGTAACAGCAGCAGATCACAACAAGGATCAGATGCAGTTAAGCCTGAAGAGCTTAATGACCACGCTGCTACAGCAGGCAATCCAGGAAGGAGTTCATTTGGTTTTGTACTGAGAAATGAGGAGGGGGGTGTCTTACATGCCTGTGGAAAGGAGATTCAAGAAACGACAAACTCAGTGGCTGAAGCTATGGCTTTCTGTGAGGCATTGGAATACTGTGTGCAGTAAGAGTATGTGCTGATAGAGTTGCACACAGATTCCAGGAGATAAGTACAGGGGAGGCACTACATCAGCTGCTGAAGAGGAGCATAGAGGACTGGCTGCAGATCATCATACTCAAATCCTTTGGGAGGAGATAAGTATGGTGAGTTCTTTTACTAACTATGTTTTTGCAGGTACAGCTGTGGTAGCTATTTTTCTGTGAATTGAGAGAACTCTGTCTGGTGGTATTAGTGCCTTGCACTCAGTCCAGAGGAGGAAACTCAAAAACAAAAATAGCTACAGGAATTAAGCAGGGATTTCTGCTGACAAGGTCGATATTAAGTGTAGTTATAATAAGGCCCAGAATGTACAATGGAATTGGGCCACCTGATCCTGGCAATGTCAGCAGTAGGGTGGTAAATAGCTTTGTAGAGGGAATAGGAGTTAGAAACACAGATCATTCTAAGGAAATAAGAAGTAGATCAAGAAGGATTCAGATGGTGCAAGGAGGTTTTTGCAGGGCAGCACCTGGGATCCATGTACGCAGAGATCGATGCAGCTGCTCTTCAGGCTTATTTGGGTGGGAAAGGGTATCAATGTGGTGCAAAGATCAGGCATGGAAGCAGCAAGTTGAAGACTCATTCAGATAGAGTAAAGAGAAACCATCAACTTTCAAGACTAAACAACAGATTCAGATAGAGCAGTATTAAAATGAAATTTCCAGAATTTGAACTATAAATTCCCTGCAGCAATTTCTGTGCACACGTTCAAGATTATAGAGCTGTGACAACAACACATTCAGCAAGACTACTATAATAAGCCATTCGTTCGCTACTTGACACAGGCTTATCAATATAAACTATAGGTTCATACCCAGGCTTGCCAAATTGTTTATTAATTCTATTGCAGCTTTCCTGTATCTTAGCCTGTATTTCCTCTAAATCTATTCCTTTACCCCGCATAGGATTGGCAATCTGGACAAGTACAGCCTGCCCTTGCCACTTGGGATTCGACAAGTATAAACTCTCTTAGATTGATACTCTAAACCTAACATTCGACTGCAACAAGAAAGGAAATGTCGAGCGTAGTCAAAAGTATGGAATCCAACAAGGTCAGAACTGTTCAAGATTATTTTATTATATGGCATATGCAGTCACTAGGCCATGGAACAGACAATACAGCTAAAACATTTCCACTGCCATATGGGCTTAGATGGTGTCTTTACTTATTGTGAATGCTGTCAAAGCACAACGTGTGCACAGAAAATAGTAGCTTAACCAAAACAACACCAAATTGACCCAACATCCCATTCCTACAAGATTTATCGATGATATTATATAAGCTTCTTACCAGCAAAGACTACAAATAAATAAACTGAAGACAATCAGGACCACCAGATTATAAGGTGAGGCAAAATTACCAGTGGCTGCACCTTTACTTCGTGAAATTAGACAACATTAAGCGGCAGATACCAATTCGAAGCCACCGGGCTGCCCAGCTCCTAGTTGGATGCATGACGGAAAATGTCAATCAGGACAACACTTAAATACATAGATCTTTAAAGAAGAAGAGGAAAGTGCTTTTCAACATTGTTATACACAAGTCCATATAGGTTACAAGCATTTCAACATAAAACCACAAAGATCGTATGATCTGTTACAAATGCAGAGCTAAGTACAAGAGCTGACAGAAATTACATTGTATAACACTTACATCAGCTCAATTGAACTCAAGATTACCGGTGGCTGCACCTTTAAACAAGCAGAAATTCAAACAACCAGAAATTCAAACATTCGAAAAAGCTGCGACTCAAAAATTCAAACAAGCTGCGACTCAAATATTCAAACAACCAGAAATTAGAACTCAAATTCTTCTGGGCGGAAACTGGAAAAATTGGAGAGAAATATTCTAAAAAAAATTCGCCAGCATTTCGGCGCTTTTTGGACATTCAGAAAGAAAAAGAAAAAAGAAAAAGAGAAGAAGAAGAATCACCAGCCATCTGACTCCAATATCAGTAGCTCTACAGTTGCTAACATATGAATTTTAGCCGGGGAATACATTGATACTAACCTTCATTGTTGCTACCTTCAGATTGTCGACGGATCAGTTGATTAGCATCTTGTGGTGCAGAGGCAGCTTCTCCGGGTGACGAAACAGACAATGTTGCTACTACGTTTGGATTAATTAACCCTGCACGCTGAAGTTGAGCTATTACATCTGCAGTAATTTCTTGCCGCATAGTTCTCCTTTGTTCCTCCATTTGTTCCTCCATCTTTCGAATCTTTTCTTGCATTTCTTGCACCGTATCATTTGTGGCATTTGAAGTCGACTCGAAATGACCCACTTTTCCTTTCAAAGTACTCTTTGTAACTCCCCGTCCATATAATCTTAAACGTCCTGGATGTTCAGGACCCATGACAGATGAAAATGCATCAACAGACTGACTGCCTTCTGCACTTTGTTGTGTTTCAATTTTTTCCATTTCAGCCTAACAAAGCAAATTCAACAAAAGAATTAAAGCAAATAAAAAATAAGGAAGAAGAATAAATAAAATGATATCATCTAAAACTTGTATATAGATAATATGTATACAATTTTACTAGTTGTATTGTCGTCTGAGTCCTTATACACACGCCCAGGTTTTCTTGCTCTTGTGGCCACAAACATCTCCTTAAGTGATACAGATTCCTTTGTTTTTTCCTAGTTGCACGAAAATGGATATCAGAGAACTTTAAAAAATATAATAGATATAACAATAAATAATAGTACACACCAATTCATTACGGATTAAAGCAAAACTGGTTTTTCCAGCCGTGTGTGGATCCTGCTGCTTTTTTCGATTCTCCTTGTTGATCTCGGATGATCTCTGCAAATAAAATAAATCATAATATTAACTTCCTCAAAATAAGGAATGCTAAAACTAGCAGTTTGTTAAACTTATACATTCCAGGTAGTATAAATATGTGAACCATCAGTGTTAGTATAAATATGTGAACCATCAGTTGAAGTTCAAGATCATAGTTTATACTTACCTTTAGTTTATCAGAACTCCAATATTTTAGGAGCTCTTTAAACTGATATTCTGGTATATAATCGGGCCTTCTTGCCTTCCGAACTTCATCATTTGGATAGCCATCATAATAATCTTTCTTCAGTTGACTTTTATGCCTTCTCCAAGCATTTCCAATTGAAAATAAAGTCCATTTTTTTGCAGCATCAGGAATATCATACTTCAACTACAATTTGATTTCATTTGATTAGCAGAAATTGTAACATACTTTTAACAAATAACTTAACATTTGGATCGGAACTTCAAACCTTGGTATATGTCCATAAATCGTCTTTTGTGTCCATTTTCCTCCAATCCAATATATCCAGCGGGCAAAGAGTTGCAGTCCTTGCCAATGTACCGAGGAAGCTACCAAACTCTCTTACATCCTCTTTAGTAGGACCAACGGGCTGATTCAAATGGTTAAGTGTTATCACCTTCCGCGTCTTTCGGCTATGGACACTACGCATTTGTGTCCTGCCTCTTTTTTTTTTTTGAGTTACAGGATCAGAAGCTACAAAAAAATACAAAAAATCAGAGGTGATGGATGAATTCAGTAAGATTCTAAGTTATGTAGACTTACCTTGTTCTTGAGATCGTTCATTAGTTGTAGGAGTGGTAGAATCTATTTGCATCTGCTCATCTACAATGTGCCCCTCTACAAATTGCTCCTCTACATGTCGTTCATTTGCTTCAGATCGTTCTTCTATTGTTGGTTGTTCTTCAATTAGTTTTAGCAGATGCTCTTTCTCTGACCGTATTGCTTGAACGGTTTCTTTTGTTGTCAATGACATTCTCTTTTTTTTCGCCAAACATGATAAACTTCCAGCTTGAACATATGACGGGTTTTTTTCTTTTTTATTTTTTCTTGAAGACCCTTCTTGACCCATGACATCCAAATCTGTGTAAGTTTAAGAAAATCAAAGCTAATCAAGTTAGATAATGGAACATAACAAAGTAAAAAAAGGAAGAAAAGGCATGAAAGAGAAATTTTGTGCCGCTTACTTGAAAGAGAAACTTTATGCAACTTACTTGAATCTACAATAAGTAACAACTGGTATAAAACCTGTAAAATTGAAGCAATTCAATATATAGTAAGGAAAAAACAAATGCAAAAAGTCTAAAAGCAAACAAAAAGGAAAAACAATCACATAATATTTCTAAAAATGGCATTATTACTCACTAAAAAACAATGACGACTATATATTTAAAGAAGTTCAGACGATCATTTATCAATCATCAGCCTCCATCCAATCCCAATCAGTATCATCATACTCATCCTCCTCTTCCGATGTTTCCATTGTTGTATCTTGTGATTGAGTAGGCATATCAATGATATCAGCAGGTATATCTTCTCTCGACCATCTGGCATCCACGTCAAGTAATATATTTGATGAACCAATATCATCATTAGGTTCTCTCCAAAATGTTTCTCCAATGTTAGGACAATTCTCTTCTTCCAAATCATGCAAATCAACAGGGACTTTATTTCTTGCATAATAAACATCTTTCTCAATTGGATCCTCCACGTAAAATACTTGATGTACTTGAGATGCTAGTACAAAAGTATCATCTGTACTACATTTTTTGTTGAAGTACACTCGCGTTAATCCATATCCATCAATTTCGTTATGAAACCAATCACATCTAAATAGTACAACACTAAAACAGTCCCAATAATCAATTTCAATTATATCCTGAATAGCTCCATAGTAGATAACTGTTCCACCTATGGGATTTTGGTCCCTAGCACTAGCAAAACTATCAGTTGCTGCTGACAAAGTCACTCCATTATTTTGAGTCTTGCATGGAGCATCTCGTTCCATTGTATGAAATCGATATCCATTAATGAAATAAGCAGTATATCTTTTAGCCACTGTGTTAGGCCCTTTAGCTAGCCATCTTAATTGATTGGGCACTTCAACATTTTTAACTTTCTCTCTAAGCCAATTTTCGAATTCACGACTATGAATTCGTGCTTTTAGCCATGCATTTCCTTTTGTATGAGTGTCAATGAAATTCTTATGTTCCCTGTAAGTATAAATATAAAATTTAATCATTAGACCATAGGAGATACTGTTTAAAATATCTTATGATGGAAAAAATAAAGTTTAAACTACAAATGATAGTTATATATTTTATCTTACTTGATAAATGCCTCAACTTGTTCATCTCCAGTATTGAACAAAACATATCGATGTGCTTCAGACCATAACTGTAAATCCATGTCAAAAGTCTTGCCTTTCCTTTTATTCTTACTTCCGATTGGATGGCCCATATTAGGAAACATAGGCGAAGAATCTTCTCCCTCAATGCCTTCATCATCTTCAGTTTGATAGCGACTGAATCTTGTCTTCACCCCATCATGTAAGTATCTCGAACAAAAGTTCAAGCACTCTTCTGCCAAAAATCCCTCTGCTATTGATGCTTCTGGATGAGCTCGATTACGAACAAATGCTTTGTACTTACACAGGTTTCTCTCTAAGGGATACATCCAACGCAAATGAGTCGGACCGCCAAGCTTAATTTCATTCACTAAATGGATAGGCAAATGTGTCATTATATCAAAAAAGGTTGGCGGGAAAATGGTTTCGAGGTCACATGATATCTCTATAATTTCAGACCGCATTTTATCAAGATCACTTTGCCTTATTACCTTACTACATAAGGTTCTAAAATAATTTCCCATCCTAATCAAGGCCAAAGAGACATTCTTGGGTAACACTTTTATAACCGCAACTTGGAGCAAGTAATGCATTATGAAATGAGCATCATGACTCTTGTATCCTGAAATTTTCATGTCCTCCACTTGCACTCGATGCGATATATTTGAGGCACACCCTTTTGGCAACTTGGCATTCTTTAAGACGGTGCAAAATAATCTTTTTTCTTCCGGTTTCATGGAGTAACAAGCTTTAGCAAGATGAACTTTTCCATTTTTATCATCTTCTAATGGTTGAAGCTCCTTGCGTATCCCCATTTCTTGCAAGTCATAGCGAGAATTTACGTGATCCTTGGACTTTCCAGGTATATCTAACAAAGTCCCAAGCAAACTGTCACATATATTCTTCTCTATATGCATCATGTCAAGATTGTGCCTCAATTTATTATGTGCCCAATATGGTAATTCAAAAAAGATGGATCTTTTCTTCCACGGACCGTCATTACGCCGAGGCCTTTTCTTTTGGCCTTTTCCAAAGATATTATTGAATTCACGTAGTTCTTCGAGCACTTCTACCCCCGATAAGGGAGTAGGCATGGCTCGATGCTCCTCTTCACCATTGAATGATTTCTTATCTTTCCGAAATGGATGATCGTGCGGTAAAAATGCCCGATGCCCCAAGTAACACATTTTACGACTATGTTTGAGATATTGAGAGCAAGTATCATAATTACAAGTGGGGCATGCCCATCTCCCTTTGGTGCTCCATCCGGAAAGCATTGATAATGCTGGAAAATCACTAACTGTCCACAATAAGGCTGCACGCATTAAAAATGTTTGGTTACTTTCAGCATCATATGTTTCTACTCCCTTTTCCCACAGTTCCTTCAACTCAGCAATTAGTGGTTGTAGGTACACATCTATATCCTGTCCTGGAGACGATGGACCTGGAATGATCATTGACAACATTATATACTCCGGCTTCATGCAAATCCATGGTGATAAATTATAGTTCATTAACATGACTGGCCATGTACTATGGGAAATGCTCATGGTTCGAAATGGGTTAAAACCATCGCTTGAAAGACCCAATCTAACATTACGAGGATCTTTAGAGAAGTCCGGGTGCAACAAGTCAAAATCCTTCCAAGCTTCCCCATCAGCAGGATGTCTTATATTTCCATCTTTGGGTCGTTCAGTATCATGCCATCTCATTGCTACAGCTGTTTCAGAACACATGAATATCCTCTGAAGCCTTGGCTTTAAAGGAAAGTACCTTAAAACCTTTGCAGCAACTTTGGTGTTCCTATTAGTCAAGCCATCACGTACATTCTTCCATCTAGAAGATCCACACACAGAGCAATTATCTGCCTTCTCATTCTCATTCCAAAATAACATACAATCATTGGGGCATGCATGTATTTTATCATAATGAAGACCTAAATCTTTTATCACATTTTTTGCCTTGTGAAAAGACTCAGGTAACTTAGCAAATGGAAAAGCCTCTTTTATCAAGTCTAACAAGTCAGAAAATGCCACATTACTCAACCCATGAATGCATTTAAACAAGAACAACCGAATGGTGAAATCCAGTTTAGAGAAACTTTCACACCCTGGATACAGCTCTTATTTTCCTTCCTCCACTAATTTAAAAAATCTCTTTGCATCTTCAGATGGTCCCTCTCTCACTCCTTCATGGCTCAAGTCACCGTCTACATTTCTAAAAGTATCATGAAGTAGACCATCAATATCGTCATGCATATCCGAACTATCATCATCATTGGTTGGACGTGGCAAATCTCTGGAGGAAAACCCTTCTCCATGAAAAACCCATTCGGTGTATCCATATGTGAACCCATAAGCAACTAAGTGATCCTCCACCACATTTCTATAATGCCAGTAACGATTAAAGCACTTTTTACAGGGGCATAATATTTCATTTCCTTGGGCAGATCGTTCAAACGCTTTATCAAGAAAATCATTTACTCCACGAATATAATCATCGGTGGATCTTCGAAGACCCATCCAACTTTTATCTCCATTAGTCATTGAATATCCTATGACACACATAAGTTAATCAACTATTAGTAATGAACAGATTAATTCCTATGTTAGGTCCAGGATCATGATAAAAAACTATCCTTTCAGAAGCTTGAATCAGAGAAACTTTTGGATCATAACGACATACTGTGCCTATCGAATAATGAAAGCACTAAACAAAAAGAGCAGAGGGAAAGAAAGGACCTTGGTGTTTGGGCCTCAAAGAGGCTGGCGCAGTAGTAACAGGGACGACAACTAACTCTGGGCTCCTGGGATATGTCAACACTGAGTTTGGGCCTGAGTTCTTTAAAAATTCAGCAGTTCCCAGGCATTTTACATGTTTAACAGGAAAAGAGAATCATTAGAAGAATACTAATTTTGAAACTATAATTAAGCCACAAGCTTGAAAACATTGATTAATCTAAATTAAGGTGTCGATAACAAAAATGAAAAAAAAACTCAATTAGACATATAGGCTATCTAGCAAATCAAAACCAATGCTAGCCAACATCAGCAAATTTGCACTTAAAATGTGCAAATTTGCTGCCTAAACAATGCAAAACAGGGCAGATTTTCATCAGGCTAACAATTCAGACAAATGTCCAATATATTGCAGGTTGTCTGCTCAATTTATTGCTCAAATCGGCTGTCTTCAGTAGCTCAAACGAGCAGAATTCTTTATAGCAGTAACAATGCTGAAAGATTTTCGAACAATAGAAGGAAAACAGAATACATTCAGTGTGATTCAACTGTTTGTTTCAGTGAAGTATTTTAAGTCCGAAGGAAAACAGTTGGCTCAGAAAACAGAAGGAAAACAGAATACATTCAGAGTACAAAATAAACTTCGAATAAAATTTTGGCTCAACGAATTGAAACCCAGTTTCTCAAACTCCAATTTTAGTAAAACCCAAATTTTTTTTCATCGATTTTTTTCTGGAAAACTCAAATTTACACCAAATTTGAGATACAAATTTCAAACCACACCAAAATTAAAAACCAAACATAAATAAGAACAATAGATAGTAACTACATAGAAACCCATTTGTGTATTTTGTAATCTTTTCCAAAAATACTTGAATAGAAAATCTAGAGATAGGGAACTTATAAGCCATGGAGGAGTGCATGCAGGCCTATTGGGGTAGAGAGCAATACCGGTCGAAGCCTTTTCTGGTCGAAATCCTTCGCTGGTCGAAATCTCGATGGATTTGGAGCTGCTTTTTGCTCTTGAAGAAGCTTCAACGGAGGGTTTTCCTCAATGAACTAAATAGAAACATTGACTGGTCGATTCAGAGGAAACGATTTTCAGTGCTCTTGAAGAAGCTTCATAGCTCTTTGATTTTGGTCGATTATGGTGGATTTTGCAGAAGAGTGGAGGTCTCTTTCGTTTGACCTAATGAATAAACGATGGTCTGAGACTCTGGTCTCTCTTTTAGTTAATTTGATATAATATATTTTCTTTTAATTATAAAAAAAAGCATTTCCCGGTTTAGTGAAATAGTGGAGGGAAATAGCGGAGGGAAATGAAATCACACTGAACCGTCCCCATAGATTAATTTTACAAAACTGTCTCCATAGAGACCTATTTGGCGACGGTTATAACTCTATTACAGCGGTTTCATTGTAATTCTGTCTTTAACAGGCTTAAGCGTCTATTGTGACGGTTGTAACCCTTGCAATAGACTATCTATTGCAAGGGTTATATAACCGTTGCTAAATAACCGCTGCAATAGGTTCATTTTCTAGTAGTGATAGTATTCTATGGCAGCTTCTGAAATGACTTCTTCTCCTTCTATCCATTAATTGTCTTCTCCCTTAATTCTATGGAGGAAAAGTCTCTTTATTCTTCCCTTGATGAGCTTGTGGAAGTACCTAGAGTTGGTGTCTCCATTCAGATTCCATTTGATGTGCGCTTTTTATTTCCAATATGAGTTAACCTTCTTCATATGTAGTATATATCCAGCCTTCAGCTTATTCGAATGCATTCTAGTGTTCTCATTATCATCCTATTAAAGTTTACTATCTTCTTCTCGAATCTTCTTTTCTAGTACTTTGGCAATATCAAATATATCTCCAATAACATTCTTAGACCATTGGCTCAATAATTTGCTGACAGTTTTTAGTTTCTGTTTCACTTTCCATAAAACATTGCCTTCAAAGTGTGTACTCCATACTTCTTTGACAATATCGTTGAAACCAATTTATTCAATCCAGAAGTCCAGGAACCTAAAATATTTAGGGTGCTCTTCATCATTTTTCTTATATTGTATCAGTAAAGGGCAATGAATTGAGCTCACTCTTGCTAGATGCTGGACTGTAGATGTAGGAAATTTATCCTCCCATTCACTATTAACTAATAGTCTGTCCAATCTTTTCCAAATCTTCTTCTTCTTTTTATGTTATTATTGCACCAAGTAAAATTGTTACATTGAAACCTACGTCCATTAGCATGCAGTCATCTATGCAAGAAATAAAAGGAAGGTTCTTCCTTAAGATAAAAGGTTTTCCTCCTTTTTTTTTCTTCCTTCATAGTGATAGAATTAAAATATCCACAAACAGCCCTAGGGTAGGTCCCTCCAGTAGCAGAATATCTCATATCATTCCATAGGTCTTCTCTTTCGACGCCAGTGCATTTAGCATAAATTTGGCTATGTTCCATTAACATCATGTAACGTATTCGTCGCTCGGAGAGGTGGATTTGAGAGAAAAAGGCGTTTCGGGCTAGTTTCCGGTCGGTTCGAGGTGAGTAATGGGTGTAAATAACTACATGAGGGTTTGAAACCCCGGTTTTATCACTTTGTGACGCTATTGTGAGGCTAGACACGCACTCCAGAGTAGTGCGGGGTCGGTAGTGATGTGAATTGTGACTCGGTTCCAATCCGAGAGATTATATTGTACTGTGTAATAACTGTTTAGTACAATTATACTGTTGATAGCTGGGCTTGAAGCCGTGTTTGGGGCCTTGTGCGGACCTGTAGAATCCTTCAGGGATTCCTATGACTATATTAGCATGACTTGTCTATCAAATATTGAGATGTACACTGGTGTATCAACAGTAAGATGGGATAGTCTATAGCTGACTATTTGATCCCTATTGTCCAGTATATTACAGAAGATATCATGACTCCAGAACAACCAAATTTTGTTATTACTATTAGATAAGCAGTTAGCCATCCCAAAGGTCCTGATGTAGCTACTAATATTTGATTCACCAACAAATGGTTCCTGAAAAGCCAAGAAAGAAATTCTATATCTTTGCATGAGTGAGATAACTCTTTCTGTTGCAGCTTGGGATTTCATCCCTTTAATATTCCAATTGAGGATATTAATCATTAAAAGTTCTTCTTAGGAACTTCTAGGGATCCCTTTATGAGATCTTTTCCTTTGCTGTAGGTTTTGTTATTGAAATATCTAGGAGAAAATGTCCCTGCTGGATTACTCTATCCAATTCCATTTTGATTCCTTGATCTACCTTCTGTCGTATGCCAAAAGGCTGAATTAGGATCTCTGTAGTTTCCTCTAGACTAGCATTAGAATTTTATAGTTCTCTATCACTATCCGTTTCCTCATTTTCTATTTCTCGATCATTCTCCTTAGTTGCTATTTGTATATGATTATCATATTCAGTCTCTTGATCACTTTCCTCATCCACCAGTTTTATTTGACAATTCCGATCACACGCTACTTGTTCTGCGTATAGCTCGACAACTAGATTAAATCTTTCACATCATTCACTCCTTCCCCCTGATATTCCCATTGTCTTTGCAAGCAAATTGACAAGGTTCAGAAGGAATTCCATGTTGCACATTAATAACTTCCAGCATCATTTTCTTCTTATTAGCCCCTTTTTTTTTTATCTCTAGCACTTTGATATGAGTTGATGGAGTAAGAAGATGAGTTATTTGGACTGATGGTGGAATTCTGATTCATATTTTCGATCACATTACTAATTCTACTTGTCCCTTTCTTGTTTTTGTCAATTTTTGGATTATGTGCTTTCTCAGAATCCCCCTCATAATTGGTAATTAGTTGTAAATCATTGTTCTGCTTCTCCTCGACCATGTGAACCTGTTCCGTTCTAACCAATAGTTCTTCTCCCCTATTCACCATCTAGAAGTTGCTAAAGGATTATGGATCCTGGAGATTATTTTCTTTCTTAGCTTCTATTACAGAATCAGCCCTTCCATTTTCCTTATTCTCGCTTATTGTATTATTTGTCTCAGCTACAATTGTTATAGGTTGTCTCTAATTTTCAGAAAATTGTTCTGTTCTAGATAGCAACTCATCTCCTATGTTCATCGCTTGGGGATTCTTTTCCTTCAGTACATCTGTTATACCATTAGTTCCCCTGTTATCCTTGTTTTCCCTACATTGTTAGTTGTCTCAGCTGCTCTTGTAGTAGGTTGTCTCTGTGGTCCAGGAACATGATTGATTGGTATATAGATTTGTTTGGTCACTTTTCCGTTGTTTTGTTGTGACGACCCAAAGAGTTATTACCTTTGTTCTTACTCACTCTGTGTCTCCGAGGCTCGAAAACCCCATTTAGGGTTGCCTCAATTTGCGTGCACAGTTCGGCGCGTAGCTGGAAAGCTTAAATATGAAGTCTGTGAGAAAAATAGTAAACTCTAATATTAAAATGATTAAATTTGACTTCGGTCAATATTTTGGGTAGACAGACCCGGACCCGTAATTTGACGGTCCCGGAAGGTCCGTGGGAATATATGTGACTTGGGTGTACGCCCGGAATTGAATTTCGAGGTCCCAAGCCCGAGAAATGAATATTTGTGTGAGATAATTTTTTGTAATTAATTAAGGAAAATGGAAATGAAATGTGATTAATAGAATATGGTATCGGGCCCGTATTTTGGTTCCGATGCCCGGTACAAGGCTTACACATGATTTAAGCACTTTGTGTGAAATTTGGTTGAAAACGGGCGTCATTTGACATATTTCGAACTTAAAATGGAAAATTGATGTTTTATGAAAAATATGAAAGAAATTATGGATTTTAAGGCTTAATTTGATGTATATGATGTTATTTTGGTGATTGGATCGCACGATTAAGCTGTAGGATATTTTTGAGGTTGTGTGTATGTTTGGTTTGGAGGCCGAGGGCTCGGGTGAGTTTCAAGTTGGTTCCGAGATGCCTTAAAGTTAAAATATCATATGTTGCAGGTTCAGGAAAATTGCCAAGTCTCTGAACCCTCCAGCGTGGTCCGCGAGGAAACGAGCGCAGTCGCAACCGCTTTTGAGTGGTCTGCGGTGGGTGCTGCGCGGCCGCGGTCGGTATGGTGCGGTCCGCACTGTGCAGAAACCCGCAGGCCTTCAGCAACCTGTGCGGCCATGGTCCTTTTCATGCGGTCTGCACACATGAATTTTAGTCATTTTTCACTTTTCAAAAACCCAAAATATAAGAAGCGACTTTCCAAACAACTCTTCTTCTCCAAAACGATTGGTAAGTGATTTCTAACTTAATTTCTTCATTCCTTAACATCTTTTAACATGACTTCAACTCCAAATCAAATATTTTCATGGGGGAATTGGGGGTTTTGGTTAGAACCTACAACAACAACAACAACAACAACAACAACCCATTATATTCCCAGAAGTGGGGTCTGGGGAGGGTAATATGTACGCAGACCTTACCCCTACCTTGAGGGGCAGAGAGGCTGTTTCCAGGAAACCCTCGGCTCAAGACGAAAACAAGTAACGATATATTAGTACTATCAATAAAGTTATAATAAATGACATAAAATAGTAAATAACAACAATATAAGGAATATAAGAAATACGAGAAAGAGGAAAGTATGCTAATATCTAGAATCTAAAGCCCTGCATGAGTAGCTGATCAGTAACATCCTAACCCTAACTCCTACATGTCCAGTCTCACTCTAGCGCGCTGTAGAAATATTCCCAACTCCGCCTAACCTACAACCTTAATGCTCGACCTCCACAATCCCCTATCAAGGGCCATGTCCTCACTAATCCTAAGTCACATCATGTCCTGCCTGATAACCTCTCCCCAATATTTCTTAGGTCTCCCTCTACCTCTCTGCGTGCCCACCACCGCCAGTTGCTCACAACTTCTCACCGGTGCATCAATGCTCCTCCCCTGAATGTGTCTGAACCATCTGAGTCTTGTTTCCCGCATCTTGTCCTCTATAGGTACCACTCCCACCCTCTCTCGAATAACTTCATTCCTAATCTTATCTATCCTTGTATGCCCACAAATCCACCTCAGCATCCTCATCTCCGCTACTTGCATCTTCTGAATGTGTGACTTCTTAACCGGCCAACACTCGGTCCCATACAACATGGCCGGTCTAACCACTGCTTTATAAAACTTACCTTTTAGTAACTGTAGCACTTTCCTGCTTAATTAGCACCTAGATTTTCTAAAATTTGGGGAGTTGGACCTCAATTTGAGGTCCAATTTCAAAACTAATCATATATTTGGATTCGTGGGGGAATGGGTAACCGAATTTTGGTCCGAACCTCGAGTTTTGACCACATGGGCCTGGGGACATTTTGGACCTTTATGGGTAAAACCTTGTAAAACTTATTTTCATGCATTGGGGTTAATTCCGATAGTATTTGTTAATGTAATTAATTAATTTGTGGCTTGATTTTTGTGATGGAACCAAGGGGTAAAGCTATACTTGAGGTTTGAGTTGTGTTCAACGCATCGAGATTAGTGTCCGGTATAACCCTAGCTTGAGGGATTAGGAGTTGAGTCCTATTAATTTCTACTTGTTTTAGGTGGAGTACGATGTATAGGCATGGTGACGAGTATCTATACGTTTGTGTCTAGCATGACCGTGAGTCTATGAATTATGAATATTTGATTCATGTTGTATATTTCATCCCTTAGAGATGATTTCTTGTTGTTGTACAACATTTGTGAAAAAGTTTATGATTTTGAACGTAGAAGAGCATTGGCTCTAGTCATTTTATGAAATGAGAAGGTATATGAATTGTTGTGCCCTTCGGAGCATTGGCTCAAGTGGTAATAAAAGTGATGAGTAAAAAATGAAAGAAAGATGGAAGCTTATTAATTGTACCTTGCCGGGTTGTTTTCGTATATTGATTATCTCCCTTGCCGGGATGTGAAGGTTATTGTTGTTGATCCCTTGTCGGGATTTAACTGTTTACTTGTGGTTTCCTTTGCCGGGATTTCAATTATTGTTTGTCTATTCCCTCTCCCCATTGTTTTTGATTGTTATTTTGGTGAGGAAGAGTGATAAAGCACGAAGGGTGATACCGTGCACGATTATGAAGAGAATATGTAAATGCACGAAGGAACATTCCGTACCATGATATGAATACTAATGCACGAAGGGCCATTCCGTTCCATAATATAAGTATTAATGCACAAAGGTTCATTCCGTGCCATAATATGAGTGTTAATGCACGAAGCATCATTCTGTGCCATCATTATTGTCACACCCCAAAATCGAGGGACGTGATCGGCGCTCGACCAGGTATCCACAGTCAAGCGACCTGGGTGCCTTTTCCTGTTCCACGTGTTACCCCGCTTATTCATTATTTATAAGCCTAGTGAAATAGCCATTTATAATTGAAACACTTTTTACAAACATACATAACATACGTGGTCCTTAACGTTGTTTACATCTTACATCGCCCAAATATACAAAATACATATTTACATAGATTCATAACCCACATTCATGTCTACGGAGCCTCTAAATATGAAAAAGAGATAATATAGAACTTGCCGGTAACAAGGCTCCGGCTATACCTTATACAACATCAAAACAAGGTCCTGAAACAAAAACGACATGATCCATGAAGGACCCGGAATGAAAAGGGGCTCACCAACTCAGCTAATAGGAAGTGATGAGTAGCTATGGTCGATGGACTGGAGTGCCTGCCACGGATCCACCTACAATCATAACACGAATGTAGCGCCCCCGATAAAAGGGACGTCGACACATTTGAATTGTACTGGTATGTATGAACAAATCATGTCCCAAGTAAACTCAAGCCAAAATATACATAAACAAATAGATAACTGAACAACAATGAAAACATCAACCAACCATTTCACAACGAACAATTCAATTAGCCAAACAAAGGGACAATCAGTGCCCCATGAGTTTCAAACTCTCCTGCTGTCTCCTTTCACATTTCACATTGATCACTTTTAAGTTTCAATTCGTTTCATTGTGATATCGAATCACATTTTCACCCTTATTACCTCGGCCACCCTCATTACCTCGGCCACCCTTATCGCCCCAACCCACACCTTATTTCACCGTGTTGCGGCGTGCAACCCGACCTCGCCTGACAGTTTATTCGCAATTTCATATTGCCATAATATTTTCATTTCCACCATTTCATGAACCATTTCAATTTCAATTTCCTTAACTCCCACCACAAGATGTTACCACATGAATATCACACAATAATTCCCACATAGGCTTCGAGTAACAACAATTTCACGTGCCAACACATGGGCGATTTCACAAGATTCAGAGTTAGCCATACATACCTTGTTTAAGCTTTCCTTAAGTTACTACGTCATTTTGGAAATTCTAGCAATCCCAATCTACTTCAAACATAGCAAAATTTAACACAAATTAGGAAGCCATTCATGGTTTCAGCTCATTTGAGCATTTTATCAAACACTAGATGAGCATCTTAATTAATAACCCTCTTTTATAAGATTTCTTTCATTACCCAACCCAATCTTTACCTATTTGTGTTCATCAATCTTTCCAAAATCCTAATTTTCACATACGAGTATACATAATACAATTATACCAAAAATAATACCCTAAAAACCCATCTCATAATCTCTACAATAACTATGTAATTATATGAAGAATTTATAGCTTCTAATAACCATCCCATGAGTTCTAATGTATATATCATACATAAATACTCACCATAGAGTAGTTAGAGATGATAGACATACATCTTGTAGTAAAAATTTAAGAATCCACACTTTTGGTGTTCTTGAAGAATTCAAGAATTTGAAGGAAAATCAAAGGATTTAAAGATTAATCCTTGTTAGCATAAGGATTTAGGGGTTAGAAATCATTCAAAGGACTCAAAAAAACTTACCTTGGAGATTGGAGGAGTTGAAGGTCTTGAGAGGGTGAAGAAGACCCAATTTTTCGTGTTTGGATGATACAAATGAAGAAATAAGATGACTCTTCGGTTTTTACACAAACTAGGGGCATTTTATGAATTTTTTAGGTATTCCCGCGGTCAGCCGCGACCGCGGCCCACGGTTTGAGATAGAGAGCCCCGCGGTCCAGGCCGCGGCCGCGGGGCTGGGTGCGCTGCTAGCGCGTGTCCAGTAAAATGAGCATAACTTCTGGTATACACCTCCAAATGATGCACGGTTTGTTGCGTGGGAAACTAGACTCAAAGGGCTTTAATTGGATATATAGATAATCACAAAACTCCTTATATAAACCTACCCTTTGGCATCTTTGAAGCCTTGAGGTAGGAAATAAACCTACCCTTTGGCATCACACAATTCCCTTTCCACTCAATAACCGGCTCGTTAGGGAACTCGAGTTTCATGACTCTCGTTCGGCAGTCAAGTTTAGAAAAGCACGAATAGAGTCAGTCCATACCCATAATTACATCGAAATCTACCATCTCAAGCTCAATTAGATCGGTCGTGGTATCACGACCACATATAGTGACAACATAATTTCTATAAACTCGTGTGGCTGTAATAGAATCACCAATCAGAGTTGATACGGAGAACGACTCATGAAGCTGTTCGGGTTCAATCCCAAAACTCGAAGCAATAAATGGGGTGACATAAGACAAAGAGGACACCGGATCAATAAGAACATAACAGTCAATGGCCTGAACAGACAAGGTACCTGTAACAACATCTGGAGAAGCCTCTGCACTCTGACGGTCACCCAAAGCATAGAACCTGTTAGACACACCTCTACCACGGGCTCCACCCCTAATTGTACCACACCCTGCTGGATCTGGAGGGCGCGCTGCTGAAGTGGAGACTGATGAACTGGATGGATGAGCAGATCCTCTACCCATACCCTACTTAGGTGCACGACAATCTCGCTGAATATGTCCCCTCAACCCGCAGTTGTAACACACTGGCGCATCCAGGTAACAGGCCTCCGTATGAAATCTCCCACACTTGGGAGAAATACCTCCCTGGGGTCGAGGCCTCATCCCCGAATGATTAAACTGTCGGGGCCTCATGCTATCTGAATCGGGCCTCGAAGAGATACCCTGTTGATATTGGTGCACGGATGGCAGTGCATTGGCCGAAGACTGAGCATAGGACTGAGATGGCCCTGACGGCCTCCTCTCCGGAGCTGACCTCCCATAATGACCCATAGACCGGGCTCTACTGTGCTTTCCCCGTCTGCCCGAATCTTCAACTTTCTAGCCTCCGTGGCCTGAGCAAATCCTACGATCTTTCCATAATTCATATCTGCATGCAAAGCCGTTGTAGCAGCCACATTCACTGCCAATGGGCTAAGGCCCTGAACAAACCGTCGAACTCTGGCTTCCATCGTCGATACCAGCTGAGGAGCATACTTGGACAACCTCACAAACTCCATGTGGTACTCCCAAACACTCATAGTCCCCTGGTTGAGCACCTCAAACTCCAGGCACGGGCTGCCATTGTCTCGGCAGACAAGAAGTGGTCCATGCAGGCATCCACAAACTCATCCCACTTGGCCGGAGGTTTTCCTTCCTCCCGGGAATCCTCCCACATGTCGAACCAAGAGCTCGCCGCTCCTTTCAATCTAAAGGACGCCAATTCAACCCCCTCGGCCTCCGTAGCTTTCATCACCCGAAGAACCTTGAACGTTTCATCAATAAAGGCCTGAGGATCGGCCTCTGAATCTGTACCTGAAAACTCTGGTGGAGCGAGTCGTAGAAACTGCTGAACTCTAGAATCGGCGGAATCTCCCGGTCCGCTATAAGACATAGAAGTACCCTGGGATCTCTGGGCCTGAGCAGCCACAAGCTGCGTCAACATACGAATTGCTCCCCTAAGGTCTCCATCAGAAGCCTCGGGACCGGGAACTGGAGCAATATCCGGTGTCACGACCCGAATTTCCCACCAACGGGGTCGTGATGGAGCCTACTGTGGGAGCTAGGCAAGCCACTCAACTAAACTTTTAACCATCAATAAAAAAAACAATTCTGAAACAATTTACTGTGAACATTAACAGAAATTTTAAAGAAACAGTTAACCCTTATACTTAAATTAAACATAGCGGA